GGAGGGGGGAGGACCCACCACCTGAAGAGCCCGCACCCGTCGGGGTGCAGATGGACAGGACTCGGGTTCCCACTGAGTTTTCCGGGAGAGCCGAGACTCGCGTCAAGACGGGTCTCTTCCGTCCTCAAGGGAGACGTAGCGCGGAAGCCGGCCCGGAGGACGGTGCGAGAGGCAAGAAGGCGATTGAGACGCACTTTAACTTATGGTCGCAGAGACGCCACAGGTCCCCGCCACCGCAGCGGCCGCGGCAGGGAGGCCGAAGCAAGCTGCAGCGGGAGTTCATGCACAGCGAGAGTCTGTTGACCAGGCAGCGGGGCGTCCCAAGCAACCTGCAGCGGACCCTGATGCAGCAGTACGAGGAGGCGACTGGCGGGCTGTCCAAGATGAGCACACACAGCGACCGAGGGTTGCTTCTAACAGGTCCCCCGCAGGAGGAGACCGAGGGCGAGAGAGATGGGGGGGAGCAGCACAAGACGGAACGGGAACTGTCCCTGGAGCGAAAGGTATCGGCGGAACGGAAGGAGTCCATGGAGGGGAAGGTATCGACGGAACGGAAGATTACAAGGGGTAAGAGACAGCACTCGGCCCGGGCGTTAGCGGCGGAGATGTCGGACACTGACACGTCCGATGCGGAGGCAAGTGCTACAACGTCTATGTCTTCCTGGGGTTTCGGTTTACGTCGGCGTGTGTTGAACAGCGTATTACCGATTTCGCCGGCCGATGGAATGCTGTTACACGCGTCTGTAGATTGGTGGCCATTGAAATTTCGCGACCCTAAGGTCGAAGGTGAGTTCCAGCGGAGCTGTTACATGGATATTCTGCGGGTGCATCACCTGGTAGTGATATCTTGCTGGGTCGTTGCTGGCACCATCCTTTTGGGTTTCGGTTATTCCTTGCTAATTAACTTGCCCAGTCTGATTCTCAGGACCGTCGAGATCGCTGTGCTCCAAATTTCTCTTGGCGTGGTCGTGATCCGATACAACAGATCCGAGTTCAACGTAGGCATGTTCGCAGTCATCTGCTGCGTCCTCGTCTTGCAATATTTGCAGTCCCTCACTTTGCCATCTACCGTGGTGGCAACGGGAGAACACGGCTTGACTACCGCACACGTGTGGTCGAGCAAAGGTAGCTACTACTTTGACAGCGACGCGGCGGGAAAGACGTCGCCGTTTGAAGTAAGGGAAGCCAACACCTTCAAGTACGCTAACATAGGCTCCACTTGGGTCATATTCTACAGTCTTACTTTGATTAATAACGCCCTCGGTTACACCCAGGCCCATGCAGTCAATTACAACTTCATGTTCTGGATCTTCTACTTGAAAATGAGGATCGTCACAGCTCGATTGGACATTCGCCGTGAACGACTGTTTCATGTGGAGCAAATCGCCGCATTCATGGGACAGGCAGTGTACAGCATGGCGACGTGTGCGGGACAGTATGTCCAGGAACTGACGGCTCGACTCGTTTACAGCAAAGAAGTAAACGCGATGGAGCGGGTAGAGCGGTACCTTAAACCGGCTTCCTACGTCCGCTCTTCTATCAGGAACAAGTCTTCGGCAGAAACTTTGTTAGACCAATTAAGAAGTGTTCGTACACTGGTTGAAACTTGTCGTCGAGAGTTTGCGGACAGGAAACGTATTCTTGCCAAGGTTGAAAAGATAGGCCACAGTATCCAACGCTGCGAGGATCTCATGCGAGCCGGTGTCATGGAATTCGGCCAAATACAGGTCGACCATCTCCCGGAAGCTGAGAGACACGCCATCGAAGCTCTTAGAGACAGACCAAGGCGGGTTCAAGAAGACGAAGTCTCATACCCTCCACGGGACCAAACAATTGACCAGGCTACTATCAATCTTAAACAGCTTCTTCTCCCAGAACTTCAGACAATAATCCACTTCTCCTGGAATCCCGAACATTGTCTCCAATTCTGCCAAAGTCCACATACGGCGTCCCTCTTCGACAACTATCCCACCTCTCCAACAGTCCAGCCGCGACTGGCCACCGGCCGGCTCCAGCAAACTATTACACCGCCATCAAAAATTGAACCGTCAAAAACCCTACAAGCAAACACGGAACTGCCAGGAACCGGAAACCCAGGAACCGGAAACCCAGGAACCGGACAGTTAGAGACCGGACAGTCAGAGACCGGACAGTCAGAGATGGGACAACCAGAGACCGGACAGCCAGAGATGGGACAACCAGAGACCGGACAGTCAGAGATGGGACAGCCGGCGATGGTTTTGGTTGAGTCAATTCGGGCCCTTTGCGCAGCATTCCCAGATCTTACTGAATTGGTTGTGCCATTCTGCCAGCTCGGACTGTGTATGGAAGCAGCCACCCCTCAGAATCCCTATTCTAATGCCAACACTGCGTCTATCAGTACGAGGATCTTGGTATGGCTTCTTAAGCGGTTTAAAGTTTTGCAGCATTTGTCTACCACGGAATTGTTGACGATCCTGATTGTCTCCCTGGGACGATTTGTTGGGAGTCCTGGTATCTTTTCGGACTCGTTCTTATGGTCGTCAAACAACAGATTAAGTCTTTTGTATAATGATAAAGATGTGCAATCTGGATATGTTGGATTTATTATCCATCGGTTATTGCAAATGGATGGGTGTAATCCATTTAGCAGAATATCATTGAACGACAAAGATGATAATGTCACAAGTGTGTTGGAATGGATATCCTTATGTAGTCGGGCGTTGAGTAATGAAGAACATTATTCTGTGTTGGGCAGGTTTAAATTACGTGTGACTGCTACAGATTTCTCGACGGCGAAAAACATGGATGATAAGAAAGTTGTGGTGGCTTTATTGATGCGGGCAAGTACCTTTGTATCGCAATGGTGTGCCTTGGATGAGCAGCGAGCCCATGTGAGTAGCAAACGGTTAGAAGAATATGCGGCTCAAAAAACTATGTCCCAGGAAGCAGTGATGCAAGAGACTGTGAATCCCCTCGAAGTCACCTCCTCCGCATACCGAGAAGCCTTCTCGCAGATCATTCTAAGCCCTATGATTGAGGCATTAGAGGCAGTCGACCCCATTGGAGCGTTCGAGAATGTATTTAGTACTACCCTCAGTCCAGAAGCCGTTGACCTCCGACTACACCCTTCCAAAATCCAGGTGGCTGGAACTGAACTTCCCATAAGAATATGGGCAGCCGCTGTGAATACAATCCATCCGAAAGAGTTCATCGAAAATTGCACTCAAATAAACACATGGCAATCAGAAAAAGAGTGGGCAGCATGCCCAAACATCTCACTTGGGAATGTTAACGCTTCGGCATAACGTTTCAACATAACGTCTTCCGGATTATGTGATACCTACTCATCGGACTCCGCCTTCCTCTTCTTATATTCCTCAACTTCTTTAGAGTCATTCTGTTGACGTTCATCTTCTCCGATATCGGCAGCGGCCTTATCTTGTCTGATAAGTGAAGCGGCATACATTTGGAACTTGTGGTCATTGGGCGAGTTTGAGATGGTTTGATGTTTGGTGATCTTTGTAAGTGGATGTTGCTGCCCATTTCGCAAAGCCGCTCGAGATTCTTGAAGGGCTCGAGTGAAAGTGGGATAATCTACTGACCAAACACCGTAGGACATGGTCGGCAATAACGTGCCTTGACTCTCCTGGAACTTGTCATGTAGCTCCTTAAATCTTTCCGCTGAAATTCGACCGTAGCTATCCATTGCCATTACGGAACCATTTTTCCAAGCGTGGAACCACTTGTATATATTAAACTGAGGTACAGGCAAGTTGGCCGTCTTAGCACGACCCTGAAAATCGTAACGAACATACACTATGTCTTCCGCGTCGTCCTTCACATCATCCTTCCCACCACACTCGCTGCCAGCTACGTTCTCCGCAGAGGCAGAGATGGCACCAGACTCTACAGGCTTAGCATCAGACTCTACAGGCTTAGCATCAGACTCTACAGGCTTAGCATCAGACTCTACAGGCTTAGCACCAGACTCTACAGGCTTAGCATCAGACTCTGCAGCCTTGGCATCAGCCTCTACAGGCTTGTCGTCTGCCGCTGCGGCTTCTACCTCGGTCTTATCCATTAACCTTTCTACCATTTTCTTTGCTACACCCACTGCTATCATATCATCCAGGCTCCATTTTACTGTTGAGTATAAACTAACAATTTTCTGCTTTGAATTTTCCTCATCACTCTTAAAGGTGTTATCCTCTGCCACATCATCCTCCACTTCCTCCAATTTCTTGTCAAATGCTTCTTTAAGCTCATCCGACTTCAAGTTCAAATAACCTAAGACTGTACCCAAATCAATTTGATATTGATATAAACGATATGCCATCTTTAAATCAGAAGCTGAAAGATCCTCACACTTTTCCCTACTACTAACAACCAGGTCCTCTAATTCCTCTATTTTAGTCTGCAGTTCGACAATAAGGTCTTTGGACTTCTCCTCTTCTGACTGTTCCTCGTCATCCTTCTTAGCAGGTTCGTCATCCTTCTTAGCAGGTTCGTCATCCTTCTTGGCAAGTTCGTCATCCTTTTTAGCGCCATCCTTCTCAGCTAGCTCGTCATCTCTTTTAGCGTCATCCTTGCTAGATGGCTCGTCATCCTTTTTGGCGTCATCCTTCTTGGCGTCATCCTTTTTGGCGTCATCCTTGTCAGAGAGTTCATCACCTTCCTGAACGGACTTATTCTGCAGGTTTTTCTGCAGTTGAGGGTTCGACTGAAGCGACAGAATGATGTTCTTATACTTTTGGATTTGCTGTTTGTATTCATCTGTAATCCTGTCCCGGAGTCTACATGCTGTTTCCACCGTAGCTTTATCACTCAGTCGTTCAGCCACGCACGCAACGAATGTGTTATTGCACCAATCCGTTTCACAAGTAAGCGCATTCTTGTAACTAGACTGTCGAATGAGTACTGGCCCTAGTGAGTGATGGAACTGACTGGCTCTACACAACGCCCAGGGAATCAACTCTTCGTTGTCTCCATGCAACGAAAGCTCCACCTCGTCAAATGATTGAGTTACGCCAGTGCTCGTTGCCCGGGCCGTCATGGTGAACCATAACTCAGCCAACGAACACCTCGTAAACACACAAGATGAGCGACCTGTTCCCTGCTTCATTCAAGGAATTTCTACGTCACGTTTGCCTCGGCGGATTATTTATTTTATCATGGCGTGGGTCACACTTAGACACAACATACGTCTTTCTACTTCAATATGGTTCAAACACCCCATCCGACTAGAAACACGCCTCGCAATGCCAGCTTCAACTCCGTCATGAGTGAAGCTTTGCTTACAAATTTATTCTCTTAGCCTCCTAGTAAGAGTCATTATAGGGGCTGTCACGTCAGTTCAATAAAGCCCTGTAAATAGTTCATTTCCATTGGCGCTGAAGTGAGCGATAAATAGGTGCGCATGACCCGTAAATGTTCACTCGCCGTGCGATCGTTCATCCGCCACCTATTCGACTGCCGATTTTGCTCGATGTCGTGACTGCAGGGGATGCCCGTCTGATATTTTTTGTGCAAGCACACACGTGTGCACACACTATATATGAGCGCATTTTGCTGTTAGGTTTAAAAATCAGTTGAGTCATCAAACTCTTCATCATCATCGTCGAGGCCATCGTCGAAGAAGTCTTCGCCATCGTAGTCCAGTTCCGAGGAACCTCCGCCGAATTTTCCGAAGTCGACGTCGGTTCCCAAGCCAATATCGCCGAGTTCGGCGTTGCTGGTTTTAGGTGCTTGTTGTCGGTTAGCAGCACCGTTTAACATTTCTGGAGAGAATTGCGCGGTTGCTAGCTGTTGGATTTTGGCGATGTCTTGTTGGCTGGTGGCTCGCAGTCCTGCTAGCACTTCGACGTGAGGGTTGAGCGTAGCGTAGGTACCCGGTGGCTCCTGGGGTGGTGCGGCCCTCATTTCGACACCGCCAGGCCAGGAGATTATTTCCCCGGCGTGTTGTCGTTGTTTGTCCTGAATGAGTTTCGGTAGGTGTTCCAAGCAGCCTCTTTCTACGGCCTCCTCTGTCGAGAGTTGCTGGGAGCCAGCAGTGGGCGGGGCTTCTAGGAGTTGTTCCCCAAGGACGCCCACGAGTTGGACAGGGAGGGCAGTGGCATGTGCTACGTCAAGTTCGCCAAGTACACCAGCCCACTGCTGCTTTTCAGCCGGGGCAGTTACGGTCTGTAGCTCCGGCTCGCCCAACGGTTGAAGGAACCGACGCATCGTCATAGGCAACCCTCCACTAGTTGCCGAAGGATCCCTCCCTTGGAAGACGAGACGGCCCTGGTTGTCCAGAACATGACCGCTGGCACCCTCCAAGGTCGATTCACCCAAAACGGCCCCCACGTCCGTCTCGGCCAGAAGTTCATTGGCAAACCTCTGACGGTCCCACTCCGATAGCTGCTCCACAGGAAAGTGACTCCGTCGGCGCCATAACTCGCTCGCATCCCCCTTCAGGTCTTCTTCCCAATGACGTCTCGCCACTTCCACCGCAGACTTCTGATCCTCATCCGCGTCGAAATATGCCGGCTTCAGGTCCGCAAATGCCGTCTGCCGAATAGGACCTCTCTTATAAAAATCCTGCAAGTATGCCTCCTTATCCTTCAATGACCGCATTGGCCGCAGTGGCGGACCTCGACCACCACCACCGAACCCACCGAACGGCATCCGACCACCCAGCATACCACCAGGCATGCCACCTGGCATTCGACCGCCCATCGGCATCCCGAAAGGCATTCCTGGCATTGCCGCTGCGGTTATCCTCACTGGGCCTAGTCTCACCCGGGGAGAAATTACTGGACGCATTGCACACCTCTATTATTTTTATACTGCCTCGTCCCGCCGGACCGGGGCCACTTTATTTAATGCAGTCCGACCGACCACCAACCCGCTCCCATTACGGGGTGTGGGACTGGAGAGCACAAGCGGGGAAGTACAAGAGGGGAAAGTACAAGAGGCCAGATCGTAGCTGTCGCACCAGGTTCCCCCAGATCCTATAGGCTGCTCGGATGAAATCCGCGATCGATCAGATGTATCTGCGTTCGAATTGGTTTCGCGAGCGCGCGACAGCCATGAATCGTCTGCCTTGGTTGAGATGCCGAACCCAAGAATGGAATAAGCGCAAGGAGCGCAAAGAAGATGTTGAATCCACTTTGAGCGTGAAGGATGGATGTCGAATCCACGTTGAGCATAAAAAGATGGACGTTGAGTACAACGAGCAAGGGCTACCCATGACATGTCTGACTGGCGTTACATCACTGCCGAATAATTAAGCTCCGTTAATGGACCCCGTTAATGGACCGCGTTAAGGCAGGACGTTAAGGCCGTTTAAACCGACAATGCCGGGAATATTTTGCCCACAGTAAAAATTTCAAATGAAATCGCTCTCTGCTGTTGGTAACGGTTTGGAATGTCAGGAGCTGCTGGCGAGTCTGAATTACTGGGTGACGTTTGATGGACATTCATTCAATCTTGTGGAGCTGTACAAGGCGCGGAGTGCCCTCCAAGACGAGAAGGAGGAGCCGGCCATCACAGCGGTGCTCATGTCGACTTTGGAAAAGATGAAGGGCATAGAGAATGATTATACCCTCTGGGTCCGTCAAAGGGGCCGCAGTGATGGGCACCAGTCGGCCGAGCAGCAGCAGTTGGCCGAGGAGCAACAGTCGACGGAGGTACAGCCGACCGAGTCGAAGGAGGCGGAGCAGCAGAAGGAGCAGCATAAGGAGGTGGAGCAGAAGGAGGCGGAGCAGAGGGAGGCAGCGGGGAAGCGTTTGGAGGCGAGGTTGGCCAGTGACCAAGATTTCCAAGTCGAGGTGCTGAAGCCGTTGGCGCAATTGTTTATGGCGGCTCAATTCTCAATTCAGACCCGCGGTAAGGGTTCTCAGAAGGAGGGTTCTCAGAAGGAGGGTTCTCAGAAGGAGGGTTCTCAGAAGGAGGGTTCTCAGAAGGAGGTCCGAGGGTTCCCAGGATTGTCGGAGAAGGACGTGGAGACCATTAACCAGTGGAATTGTGACTACGCGTCTGCCTTCTCTAGCGCCAAGACGGCCAGCGGCAACTTAGCTACGGAATTGGTCTGTAGCTCCATGGACGAACTGGTAGCTGTATTTTCTACCGCAGAGGTCTCCATCGATAAGGGCGCCCTTATCATGCCCGGCACACCGACAACCTCCTCCATGACCGCAAATACCAGTATACTCACCGGCGCTGGCAAGTCCCAAAGCTCCTGGAGAGCTGCTCAACAATTCATACCTCAGCTCCCAAAAGCCGCCAACAACCCCTTTGCCCAACCACGGACACTCCGCGGTCGTGAACCTCGTGCCCGCGCTGCCTGAACCCGCGCCGCCTGAACAGGACGCAACCAATCCCACTGAGTCAACGAGGCGAGATTGACTCAATCAAAATTTATTTTCGTCGATAAACGTGTGCCTATTGGCAACTTATATTCTTGCCTGTATTATTTATGTTTAACACCGGAGTTCTGTTGGTATGCAGGCAGGATGGGGATTAGGGTCGGGGCGGGGTCTTGGTTTCGAATCTCGGTTCCGAATCTCGGGGCCAGGGGCCGGTCAGTGTCGGGGGTAGATTTTAAACAGGTAATGGTGGGGGAGAAGCGGGCCAAGATGGCGCCGCGCGAGAAGTTGGAACGATTATTAGCGGGTAAGCGGCGAAGTGTTACGGTGAAGGTTGCGAATGAAAATGCGAGTCTGCCGAGTTCTACACTGAGTGGTGCTAGCCAGTTTAAGGAATTGGAGTTGGAAGGGGCCTCGCCGAGGTTGCACGGTGCCATTTTGCGTGCATTGCAGATGAAGGGGTTTACACACGCTTCGCCAATCCAGCAGGTGGTCGTACCTCTATTTTGTGGGAATCGAGATGTAGCAGTGGAGGCATGCACAGGCTCAGGTAAGACTTTATCTTACCTCCTGCCCTGTTTACAAAGAATTGGGGTTCAATGGAGCGAACATCCCAGCCAGATCCCTGCTGCCTTTCGCGGCCTCTGTATCTCCGCCGTCGTCATGGCCCCCACACGAGAGCTCGTCCAACAAATCAGCTTTGTTCTGGACGAGCTACTGCAACTCGTTTCCCAATATGATCCTACCGTACATAGCGCAAAGCCGCAAAGCCATGAAGCTACTGACGAAACGGTTGAACGCGAAATTGCCACAAGTTTAATATATAAGTCAATAACTTGTCTTGAACTGTTTGGTGGACGAAAGACAGCCGCGGACCGCACTATTGTCCTCGAGAGGGCTAAGAGCATCTACACGACGCTTCAACAGGAGATCGCCCGAGCTATTGCCGAGCAAACTTCAGCCGACCAAACTTCTTCAGCCGACCAAACTTCTTCAGCCGACCAAACTTCTTCAGCCGAGCAAACTTGTGCCGACCAAAGTTTTGTTGAGGGGGTCTCAAAACTGAGGACCCAAGTCGCCTGTCATCTCCGGCCTATTGCCATACTTGTCGCAACGCCCGGTCGTTTAAGGACGCAGTTGCTCGAGGGTCCAGACTCGACCCTGAGAAAGGAAAGGGATTGGACGTTTAAGACAGTGGAAACGGTTATTTTAGATGAGGCTGACCAGTTGTACTCGGATATGAAGTTTGAGGAGCAGATGAGGGTGTGTCTAAGTTTCATGCCTCGGCAGCGACGAACGGGTGTGTTCAGCGCGACTCTTACATCGGAACAAAAGATCTTCAGCTCGTGTGGCCTAAGGGAGCCGGCCATGATCCGTCTCGCGATCGACCGAGTTGCGGCGTTGCCAGACATGTCCGCTGAAGCAGATATGTCCGTTCCGGACACTACCTTGGATGGATTGCCTGACATGTCGACCAAACCCGTTACAGGAGACAGTAGTGACGACTGTTCTGACACGGGGCTTATAACCATGACAGGCCAAGCCGGGGCGAATGACACCATGGCGGTTTCGGATTCGGATGACGACTGTAAAATTACTCAACATGTGATTCCCCTTGGGCTTAAAAACTACTTGATTTACGCCGAACAGGATGAGAGAATCCCCTTAACACTAAGAGTGTTGCAGACAATGGAATATATGAAGGTTCTCATCTTTGTGCCCACTTGTTCAGTAGCTGACTTTACCTACTTATTACTCTCTCAGCTACTTACCGATAAGACTGGCAGGGGCAATGAGCCGCCGGGCACGAGTCATGGTAAGAGTCATGGCGAAGGAGCTACGACTGTAGCATACGGTTCCAACGGTAACAAATACATTGTCTCGAAATTGCACGGTAAGATGGATCGGTCTCAACGGAACAAGGCTTTAGCCACCTTCGCCGCTCCAGTCGTCAAAACGGAGGAGAACGGTCCCAAATCGTTACAGGTAATGGTTGCTAGTGACCTTGCCGCTAGGGGAATAGACTTTGCCAACATTGATTTAATTATCCAAATGGATCCCCCTAACGACCAGAGCCAGACCTTCCATCGCATTGGTCGCACTGCCCGCGCCGGTGGCAGTGGTCAGACCCTTTTGTTCCTCACACCAGAGGAAAGTTCGTTTGTTGAATTTATTAAGAGGAAAGGTTTAGACTTAATAGAGATAACGAGAAGCGTTGAACTCGACGAAGCTTTCTCTTTGCATGGAGACCGGCCACCAAGCGGTGAACAATCAGATGGTAATTGGAAAGCGTGTAGTAAAAGTGATAAATTAAATTGTCATTCACAAATTCGCGATATTCTATGTTCTGATAAGCTTTGGATAGAAAAGTCAAAAGACGCCTTTGTCAGCCACATCAGGTCCTATAAGGAGCATCAGCTGGCGTTTGTATTTGAGTTCAAGAAACTTGACTTAGGTCGTCTAGCTAATCGCTACGGTCTATTTACCGTGCCCAGGGTTAAAGAGATTCTGGGGAAGAAGCTCGAATCGTTCATTCCAGCACCTTCGGACTTCTTATCGGTCGTATATCCCTCCATTGGTTTTACAACTGCTAAGAATAAGGAACTCTATGAGGCGAAAATGGTCAAACGACAAGCTAACAATCAAGCTCTCGTCGAGAAAAACAAAGCCAAGAAAGCTAAACAGGAAGAAATCAATCTTAGCAAACGATCTAAAAGTGCCAGAATAAAGCGGAAACGTAACATAGATAACAATGATTTAGAACGTATATACGAAGAAGACTCCGCGGCAAGAAGTAAAAAGCGACGGCTCAAGCTCCTGAGGTCCGCCGGAATCAAGATCAAAGAATACGACCTTGACGACTGACGACGACTAGATCAACCTCGATGAGTGCTCAGAACCTCGATGAGTGCTCAGAACCTCGACGAGTGCTCAGAACTTATTTGAGTACTCAGGGTCAGGGAAGGGTCTGACCGGTCCTGAGTGACGAATTTTTTTCTGTAATGAATTCTTTATGAGATCCGGTAACAGACCGCCATTGGCGCCTTCACTGGCTTACAATGCGATGCAGACGCGGCCTGCAGTTCCCGGGTTCGTGGCAGAGGCAGTGTTGTTTTTGAGCAATGTGGATACCGATCAGGACATAATGCCGATGATTTCGGCCGTGATACGACTCCTGGGGGGCGTGGCGGACCCTCGGCGGTTCGCGCAACCTCGTGCGACTAGTAGCACAAGTGACGCTTCAGATGAGCATGCAGATGGCACAGAACTCGACCACCTAATGCAGTTTGTGGATCCCGAGCGACTCTGTCCGGATGAGGTAGTGATCCTGCGTGATGGGTCAGCCGTGCTGGTGAACAAGTGTCGTAGTATCAACTCCCAACCGGGCGTCGATAATACGATGCCGAGCCCTCATACACGAGGACTGCTCGGTGGACTCTGGGAGCGACTGGGGGGATACTGCTACCAGCCGTCCCCCTTGACCAACGATTTCATAGCTTCCCCCAACCACACTACCCTCGGAACCTCTTCCCTAGGATCCTCCTCTGTAGGAAACTCCTACCAGCACTTCTTACCAAACATTGCAAACATTTTCGGTAGTGGACGAACAGAAGGAAGTGGAGGAGCTGGCGGAAATGCAGGAACTGACGGAAGTGGAAATGATTGGTTTGAAAACAGCGGTAATAGAGTTAGTCAGAATGAAAACGACATAGATCATCAAGGCCACCCTTGTCCCCGAGGTCGTCGTCTGATGTCTTGTCAGAGCCAGGAAGGTAGACCCTCGAACGAATCAATTCCTCTTGAAAGTGGCTCGACAGGAGAGTCGAGTCCAAATGACGTTCATATGAGACGCGACGAGCTTGAGCGGAGAAGTGACATTGAGAGGACGAGCGAGGCTGCAGCTATGGGCAATATTCGAATATCGGCAAGTTGTGCGAAGCAGTTGATAGACTTGAGTTCGTTTGGTGAAGTAATTGAGGATAAGTACAACATAGGTCCCACCGGTAATAGTTGCGTATCGGTTCAGGGTTACAAGTGGCCGGATCTAAAGGCTTATGAAGCCGATGTGTTGGCGCGGAAGGTGCATCTACAAGGGCAGTTACGTTTGACGCGGCAGTTCATGTTGAGGAGTAATGGTAAGGACCTCCGAAAGCTGAAGAGTAAAATTTGGTTGACGCTCTGCAGGGCAGATCCGGAGTATAAACTGATGTTTCGACTGAAGTACTTCCATAAGAAGGCGCAGCCGATATACGACCACTTCCAACTTAAGTGTTTGACAAAGCTATGTTCCAAGAAAACACTTTTAAGGCCTATTCAAACCCGCGGCACCAGAACGTCTGGTGAGACCAGAACGTCTGGTGAGACCAGAACGTTTGGTGAGACCAGAACGTCTGGCGTAACTAGAGCGGTGCTTTATGAGGGTGAAGAGAGTGATGAATGCGTGGGTTCGAGCACTGATGTGATATACTTATCTCAGTCGGAACATATGGGGAAGGTGTATAGCATAGCGGAATGTTACGATATACAAACGGACGAAATTCGACCGGTATTAGGTCCTTGGTGTTTCAGTCACTTGCGTAGCACGATTGACAGCCATGTCGGAGTCTTTCCCTCCTTAAGCTCCATGTCCTATGATTCCGTTTGTGTGTATTCGCTCGCCGTGTCCGAGAACTACATAGCCATATCGGATGCAAGTAGTAGCATTCTCCTGGCAGATCGGGGAGATCCTACGAACATCCTGTGCCAGAGAGTGTCTACACAGCCTCTGCAGATCATCAACTGTATCAACCTTCTGGAGGAAAACAGCGCGACGGAGGTAGGTGGAGGGGAGCAGCTCGATTCAGTTAACCAGGAGCTGCTGCAGTTGATATTTGAACAAGCGGAGGCCAGGGGCAAACGGTTACTGACAGAGGTCTGTTCTGTGTTGGAACAGTTGCTCAAGTCGGCACAAACTCGGGTACGACTGGCCTCAGCGTTCCGTGACCTGAGACGTCAAGGTGAAGAAGCGACCATTCCTAGAAGACTTTTGAGACTAAGAACAGTAACTCCTGCAAGCTTCAGAGAAGGCGCCCTCATTCCAGACGTGTTCCGGAACGAAACTGTCAGAAACGAAATGGTCAGAAACGAAATGGTCAGAAACGATATATTCAGGAATGATGTCGCCAGGAACGACGACGACGTGGGAAACGACGGTGGTTTCGTAAACCCCCGGCTGCGCCGTATGTACGATCGGTATGCCGGCAGCGAGATCCATGGTGGCAGCGAAGTTCATGGCAGCGAAATTCATAGCAGTGGTGAAGACAGTCCTCTCGCCGGCGCTGGTGGGCTGCAGGGCGCCGGTCAAGAACGTGGTGGCCAAGACCGGGGCGGCCAAGACCGGGGCGGCCAAGAGCGTGGTGGTCATACAACTACGACCGAAGTGGGTTCCTATGTGCCCGCGCCGGAGACACATCGTTTAACGGTCCTTACTGCTGGTAATGATAGAATTATTTGTGAGTACGTTCTAAAGGAGACGTGCTGCGTCAATACAACACATGCGGAGCTGGAAAGAGGTGTGTTTGTGTGCAAGACGTTGTGCGGGTTGGTGAGCGGGTTCTCCACGTGCCGAGCCTCTCCCAGCGGACAAAAGATAACGCGACACCTGCTTCCCGTCAGGTCCTGGATCTTCCCCTTCTGCATTAACCGCGTGGCTGTCCATCCTGCTGGGAATCTAATGCTCCTTGTCGGTGACAATCCCACGGTGCTGTTGAGCGCGCGGCAGTCAAACCCAGCGTTCAGTGGAAACTACTTTGCTCGAAGAGGATGCATCAAACATGCGCTATACGCTTTGGACTGCCACCAGGATGCTGCGTTCGGCGCTGCTTGGCACCCAAATGGCTACATGTTTGCCACTGGAAGTGACGATATGACTATCGCCATCTGGGATCTGCGAAACCTGGCGTCCCCGCTGTGCGTTATTCACAGCGAGGTAACTGCCTGTAGGTCTCTCGAATTCTCTCCGGATGGCAAATATCTCGTGTCCTGCGAATCGGAAGACGCCGCTGTCATGTAAGGACATGCTTGCCAGAAAACAGTAGTTCCCTTCAGATATTCCGTTGCTGACAATTTCAGGTCCGCGCAGAAGATATCGTTCTTTGGTGGATGCACAGGAGCGAGCTTCTCTGAAGATTCAAGACGACTCATCATAGGTAAGTCCATCCCTCATTTCCATACGCGATATCGTAGGCGTCGGCGCTCGCGATCAAGCAGGAGGCCTCATGGAGTTGGTCATTAACAACATCCCCTCACACGTAGTTCAATTTTATGCTAGGTAGTTAGTTAGTTAGTTATTAAGGCAAAAAAACAAAAGGGGCAGCAAATGGGGAGCGTGGAGGACCGTGCACACACGTGTGCTAAATGGGCCATGGGAAGTCCAATTGCTGCAGAAGTGTTCTCAAGCCCCCAGGGCCCTCCTGCCGGTCTTTCACCCGAGCACAGATGCTGTCACGATGATTATGTGGGCAATGGCGCAACAATTCGCAATCTACAAATTGCCCTAGAAGACGCCGAGGCTTTGATAATCTCATTAAGGGGCCGAACTGATTCAAGAGAAGCCGAAGCAGAGTTTTCAAAGTTAAAGGATCTTAATAGTGCCTTGGAAGCTCGACTGTTGACTGAACAGAATAATTTGGCGAGCAGGGAGAAAGAGTGCGCTGTTTTGAAAAGCAAGCTCAGTCAATCTGAATCGAGCTTGCTCCGAATTTGTGAGAGAGTTAGGACAATGATCAAGGAAGACGCTTGGATGCTTCCCAATGGATTGGAAGGGAGGACGCCCATTCCGCCACGTAGGTCTGACGATCAGGTTGCTCCCGAAGATTTATTCCAGCTTCTTGACATCCTTGAGGAAGTGAGAAAAGATGCACTAGCTTACAAGAAAAAAGAGGTAAGTTGATTTGGTTGCCATCCCAGACGCATATGTGTTTCGCAGATCGAACAAAAATCTCAATCGGATATTTCCGTTCAGCAACGCGATATGCTGAAACTACAGCGCGAGCTGACAGCCCTGGAGGTGAGTCTTTCGCTGACAACATATGCGTTTCTCTGGCAGGATCGACACAACGAGTCGTTGCAGCAATTGCGGAAAAGCCAGAAGCAGTACGCTGAGGCCGAGTCCCATAACATAGAATTAACGCTACAGATCGACGAATTGAAAGCCACGACCAAAGAACTCCGAGCGCGTACCGAAAAATTGAATCAGGTTAATGATTTAAGCAAAGCGAACGCTGAACTATCGACCGAAGTGCAGCAGCTGAGAAGGCAGATTGTGCAGAAGGAAGATACAATGCAGAGTGAGCGGACGCGAGTGGAACAGTTCACAGAGACAGACGCTGCGCCCTTGAACGTCGCCGCAACCCAAACAACGCCACCAGAAATCCCTACGGATGTGTCAATGTCCGAGGTGCCCAGAACGCCGCCCGAGAGTGTGGGCCGCTCGCTAGGAGTGGAAGTTGTGGGCACTGCACTTAGCGGGTCCAGAGTGACGCATCGAACATCATTGAAGAGGGCATTGAGTCCGACGTTTGGTAGTCAGGAAGCGAACATGTCCACCAACGAGGGGGAGCTTGAAATTGGGCCTAACGCCTCGCCTACGCCTCAGATAGACAAGTTGTACACTGGTCCGGTCGTCCCCACACTGACTGCGACATCCCCGAGAGTAAGTTCTGAACCCAGTCACATAACACTCCTTTAGGCGGCTGCCATTCACCACCCTTCATCGATCACTTTGTCACAAACACCAATTGGCCGCTGCTTCGGGGAGGTCGCCCAGCGCATGGCGAATGCTTTGCGAACGATGCCTATGCCCATAAACGAGACATTCCCTGCCGGAATCGAGGACCTCGGACCGATCAATCTCACCTGCGAGCCCCGACTGCCTGGACTCTCTCAAGAAATCATCTATGTGGAGGAGACTTCAAGCAACGAGTTTTCGAGCCACGATCGAGCCACGACAGCTCTAGAGGGAACCCAAGACGACGCACCTCAAGACGTGCCGTAACGCGGCCTTATTTGTCCGGCGTTCAGGCCGCACGGGATGCGCTGAAGACCAAAAGTGGGTCTATGAATTCGGACTTGGATGAGAGCGACTCCGATGACTCGGACGCCGACATTGGCCTTCTCGCGTCACTCCGGCGGCCGCAGCGACTCGTGCAGGCTCTTCTGACTCCTTTCTGGAAACGCGTGTATCAAGACACGCCCCAATCGGAGCCGGTGCGTCCGCTGCTACCCGAGTCTTCGGAACCGTCGGAGGAACCCCCGCGGGCCCCCCTATATCGACGGCACCTACGGGGATCGCGGTCGCAGCCGTCGGATGAGTTAATGCAGGCCCCGAGCTACCGGCGGAATCTGCAGAGGTCGCGGTCGTTGAGCCCAAGGGCCGGGTCGCCGCCCCCTAAGCCCCGGCGGCGGGCGTCTGCTGCCGCAGAGGTGGTGGACCGCCGCGTTGCTCGAGTCCATTTGACGCCCAAGGAGCCCGTTGCGGACGAGCGGGTCGTGGACGAGGCCGTTGCGGAGGGGCCTGGTGCGGACGAGGCCCTTGCGAAACTAGTTCCGAAATCTCCTGCTCGAGGTTCTGCTCGGCAAAGGGTAACTCGGGTCCACAAGATGTCGAACGACAGAGAGCCGGCTATAGCATCGATTGAGATCGAATCGCCCACCCCCAAGTCGGCTCGGGCCGAGTCTCCCAAGCGGAGTGGGTCCCCTCAGCCCGCCGGTGGCAGGTCCGCAGGTGCCAGATCCGCAGGTGCAAAGTCTGCCAGCGCCAAGTCTCCCGTGGCGAGGCCGGCTAGGCGAAAGAGTGTTCTTGCTGAAGAATCCAAGGCCGGCGAGGCAGATGAGTCTCCCGGAGTGTCCCGAAGTTCTCCCACGCGGCGAAAGCGAGTGTCAGTGGCGGAGGAGTCATCTGGCGGGGAGACTCCTGCGAACCGGCGCGTGCAGAAGGTGATTGTGACTCGCGGTCGGGCGCGAAAACACAGCACACAGACCCCAGCCCACACACCCCCTGAAACGTCCAGTGTCTTGCAGCCGGCTCAAAAGAAAGTGCGGCGAAAGGGTGATGAGGGTGCATCGGCTCCGAGCACGCCGGCTAAAGTGGATGACCGGCGGCCTCGGAAGCGGTCGAAAAAAGACTGAGCGAGGGGTTCGCGAAAAATTAGGCGAACATTCCCGGGCGCTGGCGCACTCGGAAGAATTGGTTGTAGTGTGCAGGGGTGACGACGTCATAGCACACGGCCGGATAGTTCTTGTAGGAGGTGGTATATGAAGGAAGCATTTTGAGGCCAGTGCCGTTTTGGGGCAGGCGGATGTCATCGACGTCAAAGAACATTTTCCTCAGGTTATACTGCATCGCTTCCTTCTTGGAGACCTTGGCACCGCTGCAAAGAGAAAGTGGCACACTCTGGACGCGGGGAGAGGGGCGATAGGTCAGTGCGTGGTCGCTTACGAATTGGAATCTACACGGGTTGGGATCTTCTGGTTGTCTGGTTTCGAGCAGCATCGCTGGCCAAGGTCATTCTTGAGCAGGATGTTGTTAGGGGCTGTCTCGTCGAAGTAGAAGAGGGCGTAGGGGGAAGGGAAGGTGGCCAGGTCGCTTTCGAATTCCTTTTGTTTGGCCAATATGTGATCCGGGCACTCCGTCGGGCCGGAACGCGTGGCCATCATGTACCTTGATTTGACATCCCACGAGGTTGAACCAACTGCGAAACACAATCATTTCATGGAACATAGACAGGGTGGGAAGATGACTGACTGTCCGGGTGGGAAGATGACTGTCCGGGTTGTCGACCAGACGTGGCATGGGTGGTTGCTGTCGGCTGGATTTATTGGTCAGGGCGGGAATATACGAGATAACGACTGCTCATCGAATCCACGTGGTTTGAACTGGACACCGCCAGCCACATCCGGCACGGGTACGGTGACCCACGACTGGCTGGGTCCTCCTTTTCTTCTTTTCTCTCTTTGCACGAATCGGTGGGCGGTAGTGGATGAGCCTCGACTGCTTGACATGGATGAAGGCATAATAAAGATTGGTAAGGTTAAAAAAAAAGATCCATGCACACAGTGTGGCAACAGCTGTTGAGGAACACGACATCTGGGAACGAGTTCGAAGACATGAGAACAAAGCTATGGGCCGCGCTGCTTGAGGTAGACACTATTGTTTCCATCGATTTCCATGCAGAATGTGAAGGACAAAACATTGAGGAAGCCTACGACGGCTTTGAGAGACATTGACTTATCGGACTACCCGAAGATAGCCACTGGCTTACTCAGCCATTTGGACAGATTACTAGTTCCACCCCCAAAGGGCCCAATTTCGGAGGGGGCCACGCGGGACAGGGCCGCCCAAGACCATGACGCCGCAAGCCGAGCCCGAAGCCGCGAGGAAGCCGCGAGAGACGCGGCCAGCCCTGATGATCAGCTGGCCGAGTCTCTTTGCGAGATCAATTCTTTATTGGAACGCATTTTTGTGTGCCGAGATCCGCGAGTACAAAATAATCTGAGTATCTACATACTTACCCGCACCGACTACCATATCTCTGCGTTCTTGACGAAGGCCCTCCAATTCCTGCACGAAACAGCCCTTATTTTCGAGCCATGTGTTCAGCACGCCATTTTATGCATACGCGCTCTTTGGTAATTAATCTCCTGCACTTCCCTCTCCACTCCCTCCCCAGTAGCTATCTGGAGTCAGGACTAATGCCAGGGCTGGCGGCGGGGTTTGCGGTCGGGGTTCGCGGCGGGGGGGTTCGCGACTGTTGATGAGGCATGGTTGTAGGGGCGTAGTGGAGCTGGTTATGGTGACTCCGTATGGGCTGGATGCTCGTTTAGTGTTGTCTCAGGCGGCTATCTTGGCGGAGACGTTCCTCAAGTTGAGTGTGCGGGAAGAAGTGGGGTTGGACCCGATTGAGGTGATAGATGTTTTTGGTCCAGGTATTCGTTGGCGGAAGATTATCTGTAGTGACCATAGTGTGTTGGAGGCAATAGTTAAGGAGATTGATGCGGACGTGGGCAGCCGCCGGTCGATGCTTCCTCCGTTGGTGGAGACGCCTCGGTTGTTGCGAAAGCGCTCCAGTAGGAGTCCCCAAGACGGTTCTCAGCTGACAGAAGCCGAAGCCGACGATTCGCCCTCCCGAAGTGCGGGGGTTTCCGCTGTGTCTACATCTGCCACGCCGAGCTCTGTCGTGTCAGCTCCCGTCAGCGGCGAGCCCACCTTGGCCCAGTTCGCCCGCGATGCGTGTGTAGTCCAAGTATTATTTTTGCTCATGAGTTGTTGCGAAGAGATTACTCTAAAATGCTCCCTGGACCCCAGCTTCTCTATAAGAGTATTGCGGATGCTCTACAGACTCGTAGCACTGCCCACATCAGCCACACTTGAAGAATACGAGCAGCTTTGGCTTACCGAAAACAGACCAATCAAAGGTAGAATATCCCAACTCAGTCACACAAAGACCACCGATCACAGATAGACCACCGATCACAGATAGACCACCGATCACAGATAGACCACCGATCACAGATAGACCACCGATCACAGATAGACCACCGATCACAGATAGACCACCGGTCATAGACATTCTTTTCAGGTTCAGAAGATCAGGAGACAAGTGGCATTAGTATGTTAGGGGGATTAACATTGGTTCTGTTGTTCAACATTGGATGCACCAAGTCCGGCGCATCTTTTCTGTACGATCATGGTTCAGAAGTGCTGGAGATCACTAATAATGTTTACGACCGGTTTAGTGATGCTGAAGTGCTCCATTGCTTAATAGCAGGACTAGTAGAATGTATCATTGCTGGTACCCCGACGGACGTCCAGGTTTTGTCGCAGGTTAACCCCAAGCGGGTTAAGCACTACAACCAAATCCTTAGGTGCGGCTGCTGCGGCAGGATTGCTGAAGGAAGCCGGAAGCTGAAGATCTGTGGGGAGTGCCATTTGACCCGATACTGCGGACGCGCGTGCCAACAGGAGGACTGGAAAGAATACCACTCCAAGGCCTGCAAAGCGGCTCCCAATGTTTAGTGGCTCCCAATGTCTAGCAGCTCCTAATGGCAATCCCAAAAACCGGGACATATGGGGGAACTCAACACAGAAGCGAAACCCAACACAGGGGCGAACTGACCACGAGACGACTAAGTAACCTGACTACCCCCCAGCGACCAAGTAGTCGTCCGAGGCAGCGTAGATCGGCGGTTGCGTCCATGACACAGCACCCAGTACTGAGAGGAGACAGCTTCCAGTACTGAGAGGAGACAGCTTCCAGTACTGAGAGGAGACAGCTTCCAGTACTGAGAGGAGACAGCCTCCAGTACGGGAGAGAAAGAAGCGATTGCTCTTGTCTTTAGCTGTTGCTTTTTGTCTTGAGCTGCTGCTCTTATCTTGAGCTGTTTTCAAGACAGGAGAACGTCTACTACGTGGGATGCCTAAAAGAGACCAGTATTGATTCGGCCGGGCAGTAAGGCTTACGTCCAGGGTTCTGATGTCAGAGTACTGCTGCCCCGTTCCGACATAGAGGATCGGCTTTTTGGATTGGAATGCAACGGAAAGTGTAGCACCGATCTTTTCGTCGACAGTGTCGAATTTGGTCAGGATGATACCGTCTATGGTATGCTACAAAAATGACAAGTGGGTGAATGACAAGTGGATGAATGACAGGTGGCTGAATGGCAAGTGGCTAGATGGAGGAGAGGAAAATGGTGGAAGTACTTTTTTGGGTGTCTGTCGTAGAGTGTGATCGAAGGCTGCAATTTGGTCGACGCAATCGTTGCCGACTAGCGCTTCTCCGACAAAGAGGTTGAGGTCGGGAGCCGTGGTTGTGACCAGTTTGGCAAGAGCGGTCATCAAGGGTTGGTTAGTTTGCATTCGGCCGGCAGTGTCGATGAGGAGTACGTCGTAATGGTTGTTTTTGGCAGTCTCTAGAGCATCGTAGGCGACTTGGGCCGGTTCATTTCCATAGCCACGATCGAATAGGTCTAGATGCAAAGCGTGGCAGTGTTGACGGAGTTGTTCTACGGCTCCAGAGCGGAATGTGTCACAGGCTGCCACCAAAATTCGCGCGTTCGAATTCCCTTTAATGTGGTAAGCTAGCTTGGCTAGGGTTGTCGACTTTCCTACACCATTAGTACCCATTACGGCCACAATGAAGACTTGTTTGGTAGTCATTTTGTGCGATAGTTCAGCAAGCAAATCTCGTCGCGTCTCACACTTGAGGAATGACCTAATATATTGAGCAAAGGCCGCCCGCACATCTTCTTTAGAAACGGGGCAAGATGGGTCCGTATACAACCGTCGTAACTGGTCAGAGATTGCCCTCACAGCGTCCACGGCCACGTTCTTCCCCTCTAGTCGGAACTCCACGTCGCTTATCATGGCCTCCACATTGTCGTAGTAACTCTTGGGAATGGGCAACACGGAATTCCGAACAAACTTGAACACCGCCTTCCAGAACGTGTCCTTCTTAGCCCCCTCCTGCTTAGGCTGTCGCCCTCTGCTGTCCTTCTCCACCTGACGCTTGACCTTCTCTTTCTACAAAAGCACTCTATACGCAGGTACGATTTTCTTTTCCTCACAGAGATTGGGGAGAAGAAGATCGTTCCGAGAAAGTGATGGTTCCGAGAAAGCGATGGTTCCGGGAAAGTGATGGTTCCGGGAAAGTTATGGACAGGGGTATGGCGGATGGGCTCACTGCGATAGCATTCACGATCCAGTTAGGAGGCAGTTCAAACGGAGCGGATGCATCCGAAAGAGAATACATATCTGCCAATTGCTGAAGCATTCCTTCGATAAGCCCACGATCCAGTCCGGCCAAGGCCACTCTCTCCGGCGACAAGGCCTTGGCCACGACCAGCAGGTCGCCCATATATGCATAGTGTCCTTTTGCGCATTCTCCATCCTGCATTCATTTATACATATACACAAGCGCATCCAGCCCGCTGATATTCATCTCGTGACGTAATTCGTGCCGTGACGTAATTCGTCCCGTTACGTAATTCGTCCCGTGACGTAATTCGTCCCGTGTGCATTACGGAGGAGCTGACAAAGTAATCGGCGAAGTCTTCGTAATCAGTCTTCGGGCTTAAGGACCAGAGTAAAAGACCATTTTGGGTGGCAATAACTAGGTGGGGAAAAACGTCGTTGAGGCTCATTAGAAATATAAATGGAGGAGCAGCTCACAAAGCGGCAACAGAAGCTTCTAACAAAGCTGAGCAAGGCGGAAGAGAGTAGCGGCCGACGTCCGTACACGCCACCAGACAAGGAGAAGCCTGTGAACAAACTAGCTCTGCTGAAGCATCTGGTCATCGTCTTGCTTGTGGCTGCTGGTCTCCTTTGGCTCAAGAGCGGCGAAAGCTGGTACGACGAATTGGTCAGTACCACAACCAATCTCGACGTAAGCCCTCAAATCCTCACTTGGCTTTATAGTGGCCGTCGTTTGCCGTGGCACAGTTGGCAGTGGCCACCTTTTCCCGTGACCAGATCTACTGGATATGACGACGGCGAGGTAGCCTAGCTCGCTAGAGTCGGTATAACAACGGCGTACAAACAGCGCAGTTGATCATTTCTTTCCGTCTCAGTTCGATCCTTACAAGGTTTTGGATGTGCCTAGAAACGCTCCTGCGTCAACCATTAAGAAGCGTTACCGTGAACTGAGCTTGATATGGCACCCAGATAGAAGAGAAAGCTGCGACGAGGAATGCCATGTTTTCTTCGACGTAAGACAATCCGGGGCGGGATGGAGATGCACGCGAATTACACGGTGGTGGGGTTCCATGGGTGGTGGGGTTCCATGGGTGGTGGGGTTCCATGGGTGGCGGAGATCCGGATATTTTCTCTATTAGAGGATAACTGAGGCGCATAAGATTCTGAGTAGTCCGCAGAAGCGTCAGTTATATGATACTACGGCGAAGGTATTGGAGAAGACGGGTTCTATGTTCACGAGTGATATGCATCCATTTGAGTATGTGTATTCTCCGGAAGTGTGGGATAACATTGTGAAGCCGAGTGTGGAAGGGAAGCAGTTGGGTATGGTTAATCACATATCAGGTGTGTGGGTCGTGTTTGTGGCTCCCCCATCGTCGTTGACTAGCCACATTTTACCCATTTGGAGTGATTTGGCGGCTAAGTATTACGGTCGTATTTCCTTCTTACGTATTGACGCATCAGATCCTTCTTATGAGAGCAGGATGCCGTTCAGAATTCGGATGCAACCGGCATTCTTTATGTTAAGTCCAGTGGATGCCCCTTTGTTCTATTCGGACTTATCCAAATTCAGTCCGGCTTCCTTCGTGGAATGGGTTAACACTAATATGCCATCACCATTCACTCGCTGGCAGGGAACCGACGAAGCCTTGGCTGAATATTTGCTTAACGGACGCAACGAGGAAAATAAGATCCCGGTCGCCGTCATCTCCAATAAGCTACCAGGCACTGTTCTCAAAGCCGCGGCTATCAAGACCGAGAGCACACTAGAATGGATCCAACCGCCTAGCTCGCGCTTCATGGACTACATGGGAGAAAATGTTCAACAGAACGTGGCACGCATTAAGGAGGGAGCCGCCCTCGTTACTAGACTCAATGATACCGGCTATGTCAAGATTATTGCCTCCAAGGCATACAAGCTGGACGGCGCTTCTTACGGAGCCATCACCAAAGAAAATATGGACGAGACCACCGCAGGCAAATATCTCAAACTCATGACCGGCCTAAGTAAACGAATAATCGCTGTAAGACCCTCATAGTGTGGGTAACCGCATAGTGTGGGTAACCGCATAGTGTGGGTAACCGCATAGTGTGGGTAACCGCATAGTGTGCGTAACCGCATAGTGTGCTCAACCGCATAGTGTGCGCAACCGCATAGTGCGCACAACCGCATAGTGTGCACAACTGCATAGTGTGCTCAACTACTTAGCGTGCGCTAGTATGCGCAACCACATAACGTGCGAGACGCCTTCTACATAACGCTTTGTTTGTAGGGGAATGCCGTCACCGGCTACCGGGAAAACTACCGCTATCTCTGCGGATCGGCTGACAAAACGTAAGACACATCCATGACTTTACTGTTGTCCTATTATAGAACCTATTGCTATGTCAAGAAAAATCAGCATAAGTTCGAGCCGCAGTTTAGCCTTCTGCAGAAGGAGTTGGCCGCCAAAAATGAGACCATTCAGAGAGTATACCTGCCTCCGAAACATCGCGCATCTCAGATGTCCGGACTGCTGGATGGAGTCTCCGGCTGCAGTGGAGTTCTCTTACAGCTGCAACAAGAAAAGATAGCTTGCGTCCAGGAAGACGGGACTATTGGCGAGTGGCAAGATACCGGAGATACAAGTCGTTATTTCCCCAGACTTCGCAAGACCAACTGGGAGATTGCGTGTCGTTGGGCTCTTACTCACCCCCTTATGTCCGCAATGATCGTGTCCTTCCCTGTCATGACGTACCAGTTGATCATGTATTTTATCAACAGGAAGCGCGCTAATAATAAAGCGTAACACGCGTGTGCTATATTGCGCGATGCAGAAAATATTGTTCAAGTTAAGCTTTCTAGGATCCATAGGACATGGACAAGAGAACTCTCCGCCATTTTTACCATTCGAACTCTATCCGACAACGATACCACACTCCTTTAGCAACATTATGCACGGAGATTCTCATGGAGCGCAGCCACTGATTCCCCCGGTGGGTCTGCCGGATCTAGGACAGCCTGACCGGTCGTGGAGACCCAGTCCCGTCCATATCACGGACGTGCATGACACTGATGTCAACACTTTGAATTTCTCCCACTCACTAAGAGACTCGGAGGATGCGAAAACTTCGCCAGTACCGTCCGATATCGAAACAGAGACTGTGATAACGGAGGCGAGCGTCTCCATTCATCAGGCCACCGCGGGTTCAGTCGGCATTTTGTCCCATGGCTATATAACTCACGAGAGAACCTCAACCAAACCGCATCCGCCTCCCTCAGCAACTGAGCTATTGATCACTGAACCGGCCACAGGCTTTGTTGGACAGATTCCGTCAACAACTGAAATATCGTCAACTGAAGCGTCATCCACTGAACCATTGTCAACCGAAACAGCACGGACTGAAACAGCTTTGACCGAAACAGCATTAGGTGAAACATCCACGAGCGCTTTGGCAGACGAGCAAACCCATTCGACAGCTTCTTTATCCGGCGAGGACCGGCTTGAACGGGCCTACAACTCGTCTGTGCCATATTATGGTGGTGAGCTGCCAAGTGCATACTTCGACGGGCAGACATCATCAACGAGCACAACGACATCACCACCGCGCGTTTACGCGCCCTTAATGATGTACAATCTAGATGACATGCTTCAGAAGCCGGCACCTCCATTGAGCCCGTACGTCAGAAAGCCGCAGGAAACCGTGATTTATTGCTATCCCTTCGCGGATGGTGAAATCATGACCAAGTGCAAACAAGGAGTGGAGACAATGGAGGCTACAGGAGTTTACATCCCTATGATGAATGAAGTGCAGACTAAAAAGAGCGAGAGGTATTACGAGTACATTGAGCGTGTCCGAGCGCACCGTCTCCCGGGTGGCCGCAACCCCACAGTATACGGGGTGGCGTACGACAACCCGAATTGGGAACTCATTATTGATATCTTGAATTCGCATGCCAAACTCTTCGATGGAATTATGCTAGAATGGGTGGGCGCGAAAGCCTGTATTTGGAACATCAATAAGCCTGCTCGTCAGCAGATTGACACGATTCTTGAGAAAGCCGGACCAATATCCTACTTTTTTCGACAGCAGGATTGTGACCAGTACTTGCTGAAACGCGCGGGGACGAACGGTGCCTTCTTCAATCCGAACTCCGAGGTTGATGTGATGGACTTGAACGTGACCAAGGGCAAGTTCCCCGTCTTCTTGAAGCCTGTCTTCCCATGCTTCCAGGGTGAGGAGGGGCCTTGTTACCAGGCCTTCAGAGACTACCCAGAGGAATCTTGCTCTGACCGGCAGAAGTATTCGTTCAGCCCATTTGAGCCGCTGGGTGGTCTGATGATGTATTTGCGGAATGAGACGTGCCACGGGTTAAATGACCATGACCTTTACAGTGTGATATGAACAGGTGATAAGATGAGGTGATTCGAAGAAGTGATATAACGGGTGGTAAGAGTAGCTGATGGGAACAGCTGAAAGGAATACATTAAAAGGAATACATTAAGAGATCGGTTGTCGGGTGTCCGCGTTCGTCGATTTGTTGGGTGACGGTTTAGGGAGATTGGCTGAAGTCTGGTAGATCTGAGAGGGTATCCACATTCATTGGACTGGAGGTGGTAGAGGGTTCCGGTACTGGTATGGAGGAAGAGATGAAGACATCGGGTCTTTGTTTCCACCAGTGCCTGTTTTGGTGGAATGCATCTTGGAAGCGGTTTGGTTGTAGAAGGTCTTTAACTGTAGCAGGTGTCCTGACAGCGTATGAGGGCGATGCAGTTCTGTATCTTTGGTGCATGAGTTTGGTAGTCGTGGTTTCTTGTGGTTGATTTTGTTTTGGTGGGCAGCATTTGCAGCAGCGGTCGAACAAAAACATTGTAAAAAATCAGTCGTCGAGTTCATCAGGGTCGAGTGTTTCGCCTTGATCTTTGAATAGGTTGGCATTGCGTACATGGAGTGTGTCCTGTTCTGTGGCATTGGTGGCAGTGGCAGTGGTGGCAGTGGCAGCTGGTGAGTCTTGGTCAGAAGAAGTAAGTGGCCGTCCATCGACGGCAGCTTGAGCGGCTGCAAGATTGGCCGCTGCTTCCTGGGCGGCAAGATGTTCTGCTTCAAGTTCTGCTTGGTTGTGTTCTGCCAGCATGGTGGCGAAGTCGTCGTCGTCGTCTTCTTCTTCCTGAGTAGCGAAGAGGGACGGGTCGTACTGGAAGAGCGCACGGCCGGACATGCCGGTAGATCTGCCACTGGAATCTTCCTTCTTCTTCTTGGCCGCAGCCTCTTTGGCTTTGGCAACCTCGGCTTGTTTCTTCGCCTTCCAGGCCATGAACGTCTCGTAGGTTACAGGAGTACCACCAGGGGGGAGCGCCTGCCGTTCTCGTTCTATAATCTCTTCGAGGCTTTCTTCTTCCGGAAGGTTGCTCAAATCCGGAAGCTCCTTCTTTTTCAGCACGTAACCCGGCGGCAGGGCATGCCGATACTGACACGTGTCTCCGTTCGGGCACTGCCAGAACCATCCGTACAACCTCTTCTCCAGAGCATCCAAAAAGTGCTTGCAAACGATTTCGCTCTGAGTCTTCTGACCCCCATGCTTCGTCTTAATTACCTGCTCCAATTTACTCATGTCCCAGTCATCCATGGTCTCCTGCTGCTTAGCCGCTCGCGGATCCACGTATATGTCCACCCTCTGGCTCTCCGTCACAGTCTTGTAGTCAGTCTTCTTATCCGCGGCGTTCTTCATTGCCTCCGTGGCCTTCTGGAGAGAGGCCAACAGAGCTGCCTGCTTCTGCCGCTTCTTCTCCTCGGCTTTCTCCTTCTGCTCAGCCTTCAACTCATGTTCAGACTTCACACGGCCACCAGTTACTTGGGCTTGCACCGATTTAATATATCTACGGAACAACCTCTTCCAAAATTGCACACAGCCAGATCACACATAAGCGCGCAAAAGGCATCCCAGAAAACAAAAGACAAGAAGGGAGCGGTCGGAGAAACGAAGCAATCGCAAGGACGAAACCACCCGGAACATGACGACACTGGGCAGGGGAAATGTAGGGTAGAGGAACACTTGGTGGACGCTAGAGGAACACTTCCAATATGATGTGAAGGCTGGGATGTGATATTGTACTTTTGTACGGCTTTGGACTTGTTTTTGTTCTTAAGGCCGAAGGTCTTGTCTTCGACAACCTTTTGTTTAGCCTTGAGTTCCTGTTTTGACTGGGCAGCCTTAGCTTTCGGCGGCATTAATTATTTTTTTTGGATTCGGTCTCGCATTGTGTCTGTCGGTCATGGGCACTGGAAGCGTCATAGATTCCGCAATTGAAAGTGTAATTGATACACCCGAGCTAGCCGTTTCGGCGGAGAAGTTCCCGAAGTGGTTTGTGATGACTGTGATGGTGCTTACTGGCGTGGTCCACCTCTGGTTTTGGAATACGATTCTGAACCTTACTGTGACCGTGAACGGTGAATACTTCCCTTCTCACTCGAGGTTGTCCGATGTGCTCGCTACAGTTTTCCAGGCGTGCAATATCGCGGCTTTCCTTATCACGAATACGATCGGTGCGCTGCGACCTTGGCTCAACACGGTGGCTGGGGTTGTGTACCTAGTGGCCTCGGTGTGCCTTCCCCTTGTGCTCCTGATGCCCGAGACCCCGAGATATTACTGCTGGGTCGTCCTCGTCGGAGTCTTCGGCCTGGTCTCCGGGACGCAGCAGGTGCACCACTTCGCCATTGCCTCAATATATCCTACTGGCCATACCACTGCCCTTGTCAGTGCCGGCCAGGGCGTCGGAGGGATCGTCTCGTACGGCCTCTGCATGATTATGGTCCAGGCTGCCAAGCTGAGTCCAATGAACTGCGTCATTATACAGATGACCCTGGGCTTCGTCTGGGCTACCTGCTCCATAATCGGTATCGCGCTCTTGTCCAGCCAGCAGAGCGTGCAAGACAGCGGCGAACGCCAAAGGCTGGAGATGGAAGCCTACGTTGCAGAGAATGGGAAACCGAGGATACAGGACTGGATTCAATGGGTCCCTCTCGTCAATACCTTCTATTCCTTCTTAAGCTCATACCTCGTTTTCCCGAATATCGGCCCTTTCAAGTGGCCCATGCGAGACGACAACCAAGTGAACGTTGTTATGGGTCTCAGTCAACTGGGCCAAGTCCTAGGACGCAGCGTTCCGAATTGGTCCATCTTTATCGTGTCGCTAAAGACAACCAGCATCAGCAACGCCGTCAAGACAGTTTTGATACCCGTGTTTGTCGTGACCGCCGTGAACAACAATACTGTCTTTAACAGCTACTGGTTCCAATGCATTCTACTATTCATTCTCTCCTTCTCGGAAGGCTATCTTGGCACCCTCGGCCTCGTCCATTCTGCTATAAGCGGCAAAGACATATACGCCAAATGGAAGATGGCCACCTTCTCAACCGGCGCCCTTGTCATCGGCGTCGGAGTGGGACTGTGGGTCAGTCCTCTCATCCAAAAGGCCGCCAAGATCTAGCCTTATTTGGCAAGACTTGCAAACTGATCTGCGCGGGTGTGCTCTCAGTTGTAAAATTGCCGTTGTATCTCAAATACTGACAATATCTAACATTGGGGATGTCCCACCTACATTGGATTACATTAGACCCTCCCTGTACTACATTTTCTTCCCTACATTTTACTTTACATTTCACAGCTCGCACATCGTGATAGCGTACGTACGTAAAGACGTGCACACAGCCGCTGATATGTTTCTACCTGCAAGAACAGTCACCGGTTACGCGCGAAAGGTGTTTACCCTGTACCAGGAAGCTTTCGTCTGTTCACAAAGTGTTCCAGGCACTTGCGTAAAGCAGGTACTTTCGTTCCTCGGTGCGATTCAGCAAGCGCATGAAGTGACGCAACGTGGTTCTCAGCTGCCAAATCGTATGTCGGCTGGGTCTGCCGCGTTGTTGCTGTCCCCCAGACCCTCTGGGTCTGCCGCGTGGTTGCTATCCCCCAGACCCTCTGGGTCTGCCGCGGGGTTGCTATCCCCCAGACCTGCGACGAGACAGGTTTCTCGGGTGCCAAAGAGCGAATTGAATGAAAAGATCGATCGATCCGTCCATCCAAAACCTCGGATCGAGAGGGTCCTGACATGACAGAGAGTCTGACTCAAACTGTGGCCTCGAAGAGAGAGGGGTTTTTCGTTACAAAAAATTTAATGGTGTTAGTGATTGAGTCAGCACTAAATCAGATTCACAAGAACTTATCCTTGGAGAAGGCGCTGCTGGCAACCTCAAAGGAGCCCTTATTATTCCTTTGGAGGAATCGGGATTGTGTGGTGATTGGTCGGAACCAAAACCCGCACTCTGAGTGTAATTTGCCTCTGTTAAAAAGGGATGGGATCGATCTCTGTCGTAGACGAAGTGGTGGTGGTTGCGTCTTCCAGGACTTGGACAACAGTGTCTATACTTTCGCTGTCCCCATGCCCCGGGACTCGGCTGGACTTAAAGCTACGAACAACTCGGTCCTCGCCGATACGCTTTACAAACTTACAGGGAAGCGACCAGAGATTTCGGGTCGCAATGACCTCTTAATGGACGGTGCCAAAATTAGCGGCGCGGCCTTCAAAGAGACACCGGATAAAGCTCTCCATCACGGATGTCTTATAAGGAACTCGATCCTGGATAAGATTCCCGTCTACCTCACACCTAGCCCGCTCAAGTTTGTCGATGTAAGCATCCACCACACCTAATTAGACATGACCAGGCGCCCCACTCACATCGTGTGTGCGCTCACTCACATCGTGTGTGCGCTCACTCACATCGTGTGTGCGCTGACGCACAGCGTTTTGTGCGCACAAAACACTTGCGTGTGTGCGCACAAAAACACTTGCGTGTGTGTACGCATTTTTGTTTTGCGCAGAAGGCGGGCACAGACAGTGTTCGTCAGCGAGTGACAAGCCTGTTGGAGTGTAGCGGTAAGCGCGTGAGCCACCGCGAGTTTTCGGAGGTGTTGGCGCAGTGTTTTGCGGAGCGATACGGCCCGGTGTCGCGTCGTGTGAGTGTGCAACGGGAGGAGGATGTGGGCAAGACGGCGGAAAGCGAGTTGGCAGCCGCGGCGACGCTGAAAGCATACGAGGCGGAGTTGGCTGAGCTGACGGACCCGGTCTGGACATTTGGGGCAACTGCGCCCTTTTCTGTGGCGAGCGGCGTCAAGACGGAGAAGGGGCTATTGGAATTGAGGTTTAAGGTGGAAAGGGACACCGTGACTGATCTGCAGATATTTACGGACGCACTGGAGACAGGCTGGGCAGAAAACCTGCTACAACGTCTCAGACCCCGGGTCTGCGGATTGGACATAAAGTCCGCCCAAAAATTCGTCCGGCGGCCAACGTTATTTTCATGCTGAGTAAAATCCTTTCCTGCTGCTGCTCCTCCGAAGGACGGAAAGCCAAGTCGGAATCGACCGCAGACCAATCAGCGGCCGCCGGAGGCAAGGCAAAGACTTCTACCGCCTCGGCCCCTGCCTCGACACCAAGCTCGACCGTGCGGGCCCCCACCTCAACTCAGGCCCCTACCTCAACTCAGGCCCCTACCTCAACTCAGGCCCCCACCACGACCACGACGCGTCCCCCGGCTTCGACTCAGGCCTCGACCACGACTCCCGCCTCGACCGCGACTCCCGCCTCGACCACGACCAGAGTGAACAGCCCAGCAACCGCCACGACCAGCGCAGCCGCGACCGCGACCACCCCCGTGGCCAGGGCCCCAACGGCCAACACCCGAGCGGCCAGCACCCCGACGACTAGCAGCCCCGCGGCCAGCACCCCGACGACCAGTGGTCTGAGGGGAGCTGCATCTGCGGCCAGCGGGCAGAGGGGCGCCCCGCAAGAAGGTGAAGGTGTGCGAATTTTGCAAGTTATCCAGTCGATGCTCGAAGGACCGATAATCCAGGTCGTGACATCGCGTCTGGCGGACAAGACCCCGTCCATGCAGTTCCCGGAAGCGCTGGCGGAGCAGCTGGAGCGGCTTGAGACCTTCGAAACCGCTGCCAAACTCGCTCAAGTCATCAGCTCCGGCGCTACGCCCCAAAATATCGCCATCGCACGAATGCTCTGCATGCAACTCGCCCAGGAAGTGGTCGAGGCCGCCAACGAAAAGTGCCCCATCGTCACCGGGCCCACCTTTGAAGAAATCCCCCCTGAGCCGAAACCGGACACCAAACAGGCCAAACTGAAAGATGCCCCCGAACCCACCAAGACGGAGGAGGCGGCACCAAAGCCCAAGGTCGAGGAAGCACCTAAGCCCAAGGTCGAGGAAGCACCTAAGCCCAAGGTCGAGGAAGCACCTAAGCCCAAGGTCGAGGAAGCACCTAAGCCCAAGGTCGAAGAAGCACCGAAGCCGAAGGTCGAGGAAGCACCGAAGCCGAAGGTCGAGGAAGCACCGAAGCCGAAGGTCGAAGAGGTATCAAAGCCGAAGGTCGAAGAGGTATCGAAGCCGAAGGTCGAAAAGGCACCGAAGCCAAAGGTCGAGGAAGCACCTGAGCAGAGGGTCGAGGAGGCACCTAAGCCAAAGGCCGAGGAGACACCCAGGCCGAAGGTCGAGAAGGCACCGAAGCCGAAGGTCGAGGAGGCATCGAAGCCGAAGGTCGAAGAGGCATCGAAGCCGAAGGTCGAAGAGGCATCGAAGCCGAAGGTCGAAGAGGTATCGAAGCCGAAGGTCGTGGAGGCCCCTAAGCCGAAGGTCGTAGAGACACCGAAGCCGAAGGTCGTAGAGACACCGAAGCCGAAGGTTGACGAGGCACCGAAGCCGAAGGTTGACGAGGCACCGAAGCCGAAGGTTGACGAGGCACCGAAGCCGAAGGTCGACGAGGCACCGAAGCCGAGTCGTGGAGGCACTGAAGCCGAAAGTCGTAGAGGCACTGAAGCCGAAGGTGGACGAGGTCCCGAAGGCTATGGTGGACGAGGCCCCGAGGGCTAAGGTCGAGGAGGCCCCGAAATCTAAGGTCGAGGAGACACCGAAGCCGAAGGTCGAAGAGACCTCGAAGGTCGAGGACGTTCAAGAAGCCGCGAAGGTCAAAGGCGTTGAGGAGGAGGACTCGGAGGTCGGTCAGGATGAGGTTGCTCGGATCGAAGTTGTCTCAGAGGTTGCTGAGAGTGGAGAGGAAACAGGGACAGTCGTCGACGTAGAAAGTACGGAGGACGACGCTGATACTGATGAGATCATCACTCAGACAGAGGAAGCTCAATCTGAAGACGTTGCTCAATCTGAGGACGTAGCTCAATCTGAAGACGTAGCTCAATCTGAGGACGTAGCTCAATCTGAGGAGGTCGCTCAATCGGAGGAGGTAGCTCCAGACGAAGAGGTTTCAGAGGTGGCTGAAACCGAGGTGACTGTTGAGACACCGAGAGCCCTTGAGGTGGAAGTCACTGGGGATGAAGAGGAGATTGCCTCTGTTGAGTCGATTAAAGAGGTGGAGATTGAGGCACCGAAGGTCGTTAAGAGAGTCGCTCAAACCGAGAAAAAGGTTTCTGAAACAAGTGACACCCCGAAGGTAACTGAGCCTGAGAGGTCTAGTGGGAATGAGAGCGGCGTTGGGGCGGAGAGGCAGGCAATTGAAGCACAGGTCGCTAAGGCACAGGAGATTGTCGTGGAAGTTATGGAGGATGCGGAGGAGACTCCCGGTGAGGTTTCTGTCCAAGAGTCGAACTCGGCGGCTGAGACAGAGTCCGCTGAGACAGAGTCTGCTGAGACGGAGTCTGCTGAGACGGAGTCTGCTGAGACGGAGTCTGCTGAGACGGAGTCTGCTGGAACGACAGTTCAGGCGCTGCCCGTGCATC